ACATATGCTGTATCCTGGTCCAAAGCACAGTTCTGGTGCCAGCTGCTCCAAAGTGCAGTGCCCTTAGGCCAATCACACAAGCAGACACTGGGGCCAGGCTGCACCCCAAAATAATCTTTGGACCACCTCAAAGGACATATCCCCATGCTCTGGAGACTGTGCCCTGCAAGGTGACCTACAGTGATGCCCGGTCCCAACACCGGTTCTGTATGTCACCTTGCAGGGCACAGTCCCCAGAGCGTGGGGATGTGTTGTTTGGGGTGGTCCAAATATTTGTAGGGGGTGCAGTCTGGCCCCAGTGTCTGCCTGTGTGCTTGTCCTGGGGGCACCGCACTTTGGAGCAACTGGCACCAGAACCGTGCTTTGGACCAGCACACAGAATGTGTCCCCTCGAAGGGGAGGGTCTGCTGAAGATGGAGGGGTATGAAATGTGGGGGTCCAAACCTTATTTTGGGTGCAGGGGGCACTTCCTTATTCAAATCTCATTTGAAATGCAGGCCACGAGGAAGCCCTGCGAACAGAAGCTCGTGGCATCAGAACCGGTGTTGGGCCCGGGCATCACTGTATGTCACCTTGCAGGGCACAGTCCCCAGAGTTTGGGGATGTGTCGTTTGGGGTGGTCCAAAGATTATTTTGGGGTGCAGCCTGGCCCCAGTGTCTGCTTGTGTGATTGTCCTAAGGGCACTGCACTTTGGAGCAGCTGGCACCAGAACCGTGCTTTGGACCAGGATACAGCATATGTCCCCTCGAAGGGGAGAGTCCTGTGAATGTGGGGGTATATGATATGTGGTGGTCCAGACCTTATTTTGGGGTTCGTAATGAATAAGGAATGAATAAGGAAAGGCGAATAAGGAACCAACTTCAGCCTCCTGGCTTCCTCCTGGAATGTTTTTAGTACTCTGCTGTGGAAATTATAAGAGGATGTCTTGGTGCGTGAGCAGAATGCCTTTACCAATAATTAATTACAACTATACGCTGCATTTTCCTCAGCTCCTGGGTAGATCTGTCATGAGAACCTTCAATCGAATCAGAACTCAGTTCCCAGGCAAATGAGGGCACAATTCAGATCGGGGAGAGGTGTTAAACCCTTTCTGCTCTGCGGCATTTTCCCTACTGAAAGGGCCCCACGGAAGTCTTGTTTGCCCTGTTGCAGAAATCTATGTAGCCAGCAAGTAAGTGTAAGTGTCCCAAAGAGGAGAAACAGCAGTTTCTGGGGCCATTTCAGGCTGGGAAAATGGCACAAAGGGGATGCTATGATCCCAATCCCGACTGGGCCCTGTCATGCCTGAGAACTGACAACAGTTAGAGGGGTGCCTCAGTGGAACAGGCTTCCTCGGGAGGTGGTGGGCTCTCCTTCTTTAGAGGTTTTCAGGCAGAGGCTAGATGGCCAGGGGTCATTTCCTGCAGGAGCGCACAGGAGCGGAGCTCCAGCAGTAAAGAGCCCAGGGGGCAGGCACATGCAACAAGCCCCACCCCCTGCTCCCAGCAGCCCTCAGTCAGAGCAAGAAGCAGCCAGGTAAGTTGCAGAGCCCC